TTCACCTTAAATTCGAACCCAACCCGACTCGAACACAACCTCTAAAAAGGCCTAACCTGACTCAATCCGAACTCAATTTTTTAAAAAAATTTGACCCGATTAGATCTGATCAGGTTGAAACTGTCAAATTTGGGTCACATTCCCATCCATAGTTTAGATCCCTTTTTAAAGTTTAAATTAAGGGTAACTATATGTTCAGTATCTTAACTTCTATTTTGTTTTACTTTGTTACCCAATTTTATTTTTTAAACTTATACCTAACATTTAGTTTATGTTTCAATTTGGTATCCCATCGTTAAAAAATTAACAGAACTACTGATGTGACATTATTTTATAGTGACACGTAAACATCAACATTAAGTTTTTAATGATGAAATATCAAATTGAAACCTAAACTAAACACTAGGTATGATTTAAAAAAAATAAAGTTTAGGTAGCAAAATAGAACAAAAGTAATAGTTTATGTACTAAATATATAATTTATCCCAAAATTAATTTATATTTTAGGGTAAACTACATTTTTAATACATAACTATCATTTTAGTTAAGTTTTGGTTACTCAACTATTTTTTATGCTTTTCATGCTGTATGATTTTGTATATATGTTTGGTATGGTCTTGCTTAGGGTCAGTGGCTAGTTCAAGATGAGCATATGTTCATCATGAAATTTGAATATTTTTTGATTAATTATTTTTGATTAATTGTTTAAACCTTAACATTGTATTTGTACTCACTTTATATAAAATTTTCGTATTATTATAGGTGCTCAAATAAGGTATAATTGCTGGAAAAATTGTGATAAATTGAAAACTTTAAGTCATATTTTCGAAGGGTAGAGATGGAGAATCGAATAATGAATTATTGATTCATATTATACTCCATTAGATATTGCAATGATACTCATACTCAAAAAGATTGATTTATGAATGAGAAATTGATGCTTAGAGTAGGTACATGTGAATTGTGTTGTGTAAGGAAAATGGAAAAATCTATATCATATATTAGTGGTAGTGGAATAACAAACATGATAATGATTTATATACACCAACCCACTTGTTAATTATTGAATGATTTATGTTGAAATTGTGCTTTGATGCAAGATGTAAATCTAATTTTGCCAAACTATTAGGGTTCGTTTAGTTTTAGTAAATATAAGTTATTATCATTTTTATTTTCTTAGAAAATAGAAAAAGTTGAAGAAAACATATTTGATTGTAAATTAAAAAATAATCTCTAAAAAATAAAAAAAATAAGTGAAAATATAAAAACATAAAAAAGATGTTTTCAGTATTTTCAATAAAATTGTTTTGGAAATTTAAAAAATAAGGAAACGTGATATATAGATTTTTTAACTTAACTTACACATGGTCAAATTAGTCTAACAATATTTTTTTATTTAATGGTATCTAAACCCTTAAACTTTTACAAAAATATATTTTATGAAAACAATATTTTTTATACCAAATATTTTTACTATTTTATTTTGGATTCAAGTTTTCATTTATATTAACCAAACATGTTTTCTAATTTTCAAAAAATTGAAAATGAAAACTATTTTATGAAAACAAAAATAGAAAATATTTTCTAGAACCAAACTGACGTGCATTTGCGCCAGTTGGACAATGTGTAAATTTGTCTTAAAGAAACTGTGTAACTACAAATTTCAACTATGTTTCTAGTTAATTAATCTATCGACATTCAGGTTCTTTACTCTCTAAATTGTATTTTTTATTTATTAATAAAATTTTTATTTTCTTTTTCGTCTCGGATTGTTATACTTATAATAATAATATAATGTTATCGTTTTGGATTTTGTTGGAGATGTACGAATGAAAGTTAGTTATTTTCAGCGTTTTTGTAGCATGGTTTTATCATTTTCCGGTGTCTGTTATCTTTACAGTTTTAAATATATTTAACTCTGTTTCGTAGCTTGTTCTCAACTTTTGAAGGACTTTTACACCATAGTTTTCAAGTATTTTAATTTTATTATTGTGTGCATAATTGTTCTTTTATCAGTGCTTAGTATTGGAAGGAGAGAAACCAACTTGCTTAATTGGAGATGCTTGTATTTGATGGGCTTGTTGTTCTATGTACTTACTTTTACCCACTCGTATGCACGTCGTAGCATTATTCAAATGTTGAGAGCCTTATCACCTTAGAGGATCAGCATTCAAACTCAGAATTTCCTTTTAAAGAATCCATTCTCCGATGCCGTACTACTCTGCCTCCGAAATAAGATAACCCCGATTGCGTCGTTCCACGAAAGCCTGTAATTTTCTTCTAATCCTATTGAATCAATTGGTCGACATCGCGGAACTACGAGAGAAGCTTCAGATGATTGAAACACTAGAAAATGAACTCCAATTCATGCGTAGTACAAAAATGAACTCCAATCCACGAAAGCCTGTAATTTTCTTCTAATCCACGAAAGCTTGTATTTAAGGCATGATTCTAATGTTATGAGCATTGATTAATATTTACGCATGTATGATAGTTGATATACAAAGATGAGCAACTATTTATTCTCAAGTGGGGGTAAGATTATACAGTTCCTGAAAACTAAGGTGAAAATAATTATAAATATTTTTTACCGTACTAATTATTTTCTTTGAGAAATTTGTAAAGATACAAGACATGTGTAATATTTGGAGAAATATGGAGCTGGTAAAGCTGAAATGAGAAGATTCTCCAAAATCAAATAGTTGTTAAATTCGATTTGATTTCCACAATCTTTTGAAGATAAGAAACCAAAATCCTAAAGATAAGGATCTTGTCACTATCAAATTATTGTTAGTAAATTAATTTTGTGACTAAACCATGTATATTCTTCATTTGACTTTAGAAGATTTAAAAGAGATGATGGTTCAGATGAAGAGATTGTCACGATGGATTTTGGGATCATGCTGATTAAAAATGATGATGCAAAGGCTGAAGTAGCATGCATGGTGAGGATGAATAAGTCTATTTGGAAATTATGATTCTACCTGCAAGGTCAGATTATTTAGACTTGTTTCCTGTTAATTCATGCCTTTTAAATACATGAATTAGATTGCATGAGCCTTTAAGATAGTCTTTAAAACTCAGTGGATACTATAAAATGAGATAAAACCGCTATTAAAGACTAAGGTAGTACTACTAAGGCTAAGGCAGTAGTTTGAGCCCAAAATTTATATGCTTAATAAGATACTAATGTGAGTAAAAGTATCAAGCATAATTATTTAAAGAGATCTTATTTAAAGAAAGAGAAAATTCACAAAAGATTTATTGGAAAGTAGTGTGATGAGTATGAAAGTGCATGTCTAGGATTGGTTCTATGAAGACTTGGTACTTAAGCGTGTCTAGTGCACCACCTCTCTTTCATAGAAACCTACCTGGTGCATTGTTCATTACTATGCTCACTATTCCAATACTATGACAAGATAAAAACTCTTAAAACTTAGTGCAGAAGTTAAAAGAGTAGAGATTAATTTGGTTTAGTGGAATACCAAATTTAGTCATAGTAAATAAAATATATGATGATCTCTTTAAGGCTAATATGTTGAATATCATGAATGAGAATATGATAGACACTATTGCTACTAAAAGTGTGTTGTAGCTATTAAATCTCTTTAAGTGATTTTCCTAAGTAGAGGAAAAAAAAGAGATTATCTATTTCAGAATTTGTGCTAAAATCTCTTGTTTTAAACTTGAGATCATTTTTCCTGATGTTAGGAAAAAATCGAAATTCATTTTGAATGAGAAAAACTCAAAAAATTTCATAATGGTTTATGCATTTTAATCTTATTGATTTGTAACTTCTCAAAACTTTGAGAATATAATTATGCGTAAACAAAACTTGAGTTTGTTAAAGTATAGTTTTATGGTTAAAACTCATAACAAACTTTACTCTAGTATGATTGAGTATTTGTTTACACGTTTTACAAGACACTTATGGATATCCTAAAATGTTAGAAATGTGGGAGTGTCTTAAAATGTAGATTAAATGCATAAACTCAAATAGAAAATATTATATCTACTTCTTCTAGTATTCCTGCTAGGTCTTCTCAAGAAATTGATTTCGAGCCTAGAAGAAGTAAAAGGCTATTTGGACCAAATTTTATCACTTCCTTTATTTATGAGATAAATGATTTAGACTCTATTTCTGATCATATAGCTTAAATATTATATGAGGATCCTAAAAAAGCTATAAGATCTATCAATGCTAGTTTCTAGAAAAGCGCTATTAATAATGAACTAGAATCGATAATGTCTAATCATACTTGGGATTAGTTGACTTGCCTAGAGGATTTAAATCAATTTGTAGCAAATGAATCTTCCGGAAGAAAATGAGACCAGATGGTTTGATCCAGTGGTACAAGGCAAGGCTAGTTGTCAATGGGTTCACTCAAAAGTTTGTTTTAGACTACTTTGATTCTTACTCTCCCGTTATGAACATCTCAACGATCCGTGCATTATTTGCACTAGCCTCCATTCATAAGTTGCGAGTACATCCAATGGATGTTAAGAATGCATTTCTAAATGGAGATCTAGATGAGAAGATCTATATGAGAACAATGGTACAAGAAATTTCATAAAACTATACTTAGTTTTGGTTTTGTTGTGAATGGTTCGGATGCTTGTGTGTATTCGAGGATGTTTGGTACTAATTACGTCATCATAAGTTTTGTATGTTGATGACATGTTGATTTTCAGTTCTAACATTGAGTCCATTAACAAAACAAACAATTTCTTGTCCACTAAATTTGAAATGACGGATCTGGGAGAAGTTGATGTAATCTTAGGAATCAAAATTACTGGAAATGGATTTTCTTTATGTCAAACACACTATCTTGAGAAAGTGTTAAAAAATTTGACAGTTTTGATGTCATCCCTGTTCGAATCCTTGTGACACTAGCATATATCTCTTTAAAAATAAAGGAAGTAGTGTTTCCCAAACAGAATATATTAAATTAATCGGAAGCTTAATGTTCTTAATGAACTATACTCAGCCTGATATTACTTATGTTGTGAATAGACTAAGTAGATATACTCATAATCCGAGTGGTGAACACTGAATTGCTCTTAGACGCTTACTAAAGTATCTTAAGGGTACTTTGTATTGGAAACTTGAGTTTGTTGGCTATCACTGGAAGGATATTGTGATGTCAATTGGGTTTCTGATAATGATGAGGTAAGCTCTACGAGTGGGTATGTTTTTACTTTAGATGGAGCAACAATCTCGTGGAAATCATCAAAGCAGACTTGTATTGCTCGTTCTACCATGGAGTCAGAGTTTATAGCTCTTGACCTAGCTGGGCAAGAAGCCGAGTGGCTCAGAAGCTTGTTAGCAAATATTTTGTTGTGGGGAAGACCGACTCCTCCGATTTCTTTGTTGTGTGATTTGCAAGCTGTGATATGTGTACAATGGTAAGAAAAGACACATTCGCATAAGACATGAATCAGTTAGACACTTAATAAAAAATAGAGTGCTCTCTTTAGAGTATGTGAAGTCGGAAAGGAACCTAGCAGATCCTTGGTCCTAGATTCGTCGAGGGGGATGGGTCTAAAGCCCATTGGTTGAGGAATTCATGGTGGATACCCAACTTAGTTATCTAAGTTCCATGTGGTCAAACGAAACCATGAAAAGACTCATAGTGCACATTCCTACTACCTATCCCTATGATGAATAATGTGCATGCCCAGGATGAGCTTAATTGCTCTTAATAAATTCATAGCCCAGGCTTTGGGTGGTCTTAGTGAGAAAGACTTGATGAATTTATCGATTTTGGCTGAATATCTATTCTTAATAAGTTCATAACCCAGAGTTGAGTGGGTAGTTCTAATCGCGAAGGACTAGATGAACTTACCGCTTGAGAGGATGAGTTTTATTAAACTCTTAATGAATTCAAACCCAAGAGTTTGAGAGTTCCTAATGAGAAAGACATATTGAATGAGAGTTCCTAGTGAGAAGGACATATTGAATTCACTGAATTTTGAGGCTGAATATTTATTCTTAATGACTTCTTATCCCAGAGTTTGGGTGGTTCATTAATAATGAACTTGAAGAAAGTCACCATACCCTTTGTGAGGTTGAGCTATTATAAAAGCTCTTAATTATTTCATAGCTCAGTTTGAGTGGTTTATGTTGATATAAACTTGATGAAATAACCTACGTAAATGAGAAGGATTAGCCACCTTCTATGAAAAACGTTTGGCCATTTTTCTAGTACACTTATTAGAATCCTGAGGAAAGAGGGCTAAACATATATATGCTTTTATATATATTCTTTGTAGACACATCGAGAACTTTGGTGGATGAAGGGGTTAGTTGTGTGTTATGAGTTTACCCCAATCTTAGAAAGTTCCAAACTAGTTTCACTTATCTAAGAGAAGGCTTGCTCATCATCACTATGTACTAGTTCCAGATACGTTCACTAGTGCTTAAGCAACTAATCTCGCTATTGCTCTTCTCATGTTTTAACTTCATTGCTCTCATCTTTACGAAAGAATTCTTTCGCATTAGTGGGGGAATGTTGGTAATGCTCAATTTGTAACAGTCTTTTAAAGGATTTTAATTCTATGTTTAATAGAATTAAATTGTGATTTGGAAGTGACTATTTTGCCCTCACTATTTAGCCTATAAATAGAGGACAATTTCATTCACTTTGATACATCCCAAGCAAAACATTTGCTTTGACACACTCCTCTATAGTGAGTGTTGTTTGAGTTGAGAGAAGAGCAATACCACCAAAGTTCACTCCAGTTTTCGGGTGTACGAATTCTTGGAGATCCGTGTTAACCTCGGGGGAACGGTCCGCCTACTGCAGCGATTACACACATCGGGGCGAATTTATTTCTAAGGCAGTGGATTACCACGACACGGTTATCATTCTGATTGATTATTTTATTTAATATTTTCCAGTCAGTGCTAATGCCTTGTTTAGCAGCAGTCTATTTTACCAACAATTTAGAAACGAATTCCATATATTGCAATCATGACAACACCTTTGAGTAAACTAATCCCCGATCTTTCCAAGCTCGATGCACTTGATGGAAAGAATTATAGAAGGTGGTCCTAAAGAATCCTGATATTCTTCGAGCAGCTTGATCTTGACTACGTGCTGCTCAAGCCACCACCTACTATGCCGCCAAACCCAGCTGCCAGTAATGATGCGGATGTGGTCCTCAATGATGATGCCTTAGCAATTGTCGCCGTCGCTCTCGCTATCTACGAGAAATACGAGAAAGACAACAAGACGGTGCGAGGACATCTGCTCAGTCACATGTCAAATAAACTATTTGATATGTTCCTTAGAGAAAGGAGTGCCAAGGCAATATGGGACACTCTCGACAAAAAGTATGGTGCGGACGATGCGGGCATCAAGAAGTATGTTGTTGGCGAATGGCTCAAATTCCAGATGACAGACGACAAGCCAATAATGGATCAAGTCCATGACTATGAGAACTTAGTCGCTGAAATCATCGCTGAAGGGATGCAAATGTGTGAGGTGCTGCAAGCCAATGTACTCATTGAGAAGCTGCCCAAGTCCTGATCCGACTACCGCAACTCTCTTAAGCATAAGAAGAGAGAAATTTCTCTTGAAGAACTTGTGGGCCATATGAAGATTGAAGAAGCCAACCGTTTAAAAGATAAGCTTACTAATTCTATGAGTAATTTATCTTTTAAAGCTAACTTGGTTGAGTCTAAATTTAAGAAGATCATGAAACGTGGGAATCAAGACAAGAAGACGAAACCACAGAAGGCTACCAACTTCAAGAAGTCAGGAAAGGCCAAACCGGAAGGAAAGACGTTCAAGTTTTATGTCTGCAGTTTACCCGGCCACAAAGCTTACCAATGCCAACACCGCTCAGACCGCCAGAATGACAACAAGCCACAGATGCACGTTGTAGAAGAAGATGATGAGATCATTGCTGCGGTGGTCTCAGAAGTTAATCTGGTGGAGAACACTTCAAAATGGGTAGTTGACACTGGCGCTTTGAAGCATTTCTGCGCAAGGAAGGAGTTTTTCACCGAGTTCGAGGACGGGAACACTGGTGAACGTGTGTACATGTGGAACTCTAGCAGTTCTGAAGTGCTAGGCAAAGGCAAGGTTTTACTCAAGCTGACTTCAGGTAAAACTCTGGCTTTAAATAATGTTCTGTATGTACATGCCTTGCGTAGAAATTTGATAAGTGGTGGGATTCTGAATAAGGCATGCATTAAGTTAGTTTTTGAGGCAGATAAACTTGTACTTTCCCGAAATGGTGATTATGTAGGGAAAGGGTTTTTAAGCAATGGTTTATTTGTCATAGAAACTCAATTTAATGAAAATAAAGCTACCACTTCTGCTTATATTGTTGAATCCATTGATATGTGGCATGCTAGATTAGGACATGTGAATATTCATGCTTTAAAGAAATTAATGAATATGAATGTTCTGCCTAAACTAGACACAACTAGCTTTAACAAATGTGAGATTTGTGTAGAAGCTAAGCATACTAGACCTCACTTTAAGACTGTTTCTAATAGAAAGACTGAACTGTTAGAACTCATTCATACTGATCTAGCAGATTTTAGAAACACTGAAAGTAAAAGAGGAAAACACTACTACATAACTTTTGTAGATGATTATTCAAGATATACAAAATTTTATCTCCTAAGAACTAAAGATGAAGCTGAAAACTTCTTTCTTATTTATAAGGCAGAAGTAGAAAATCAGTTAGATAGGAGAATTAAACGAGTTAGATATGATAGAGGTGGTGAATATGGATCTAATTTCTTAAAAGATATTTGTGAAAAGAATGGCATAATTCATGAAACTTCAGCCCCCTATTTTTCTCAACAGAATGGTATAGCTGAAAGGAAAAATAGAACTTTAAAAGAGATGATGAATTCTTTACTAATAAGTTTAGGGTTATCTGATAACATGTGGGGGGAAGCCATTCCATCGGCAACTCATATCTTGAATCGAGTTCCTCATAAGAAATTAGATTATACCCCATATGAATTGTGGAAAGGATACGCTCCTAATTTACAATACCTGAAAGTGTGGGGGTGTCTGGCCAAAGTGGGTTTTCCAGACTTTAAGAAGTCCACCATCGGACCTAAAATTGTTGATGCAGTGTTTATAGGGTATGCTACGAATGGTGCTGCATACAAATTCATGCTTTTACAAGATTATTCTATTTGTGAGTCAAGGGATGCTGTTTTCTTTGAAAATAATTTTCCTTTAAAGGAACCGAGAATGAATATTGAAACACAAATAGAATATATTCCATCCACTTCTTCTAGTAATCCTGCTAGGTCTTCTGAACAAATTGATTTCGAGCCTAGAAGAAGTAAAAGGCAAAGAGTTGAAACCTCTTTTGGACCAGACTTTATTACTTCATTTATTTATGAGATAAATGATTTAAACTCCATTTCAGATCCTATAGCTCAAATTTTTCTATTAGATGAGGATCCTAAAACTTTTGAAGAAGCTATAAGATCTATCGATGCTAGTTTTTGGAAAAGCGTTGTTAGTGATGAACTAGAATCGATAATGTCTAATCATACTTGGGAATTAGTTGACTTGCATAAGGGATTCAAACCAATCTCCAACAAATGGGTCTTCCGAAAGAAACTAAGGCCAGATGGTTCGATTCAGCAGTACAAGGCAAGGTTAGTCGTCAAAGGGTTCACTCAAAGGTTTGGTTTAGACTACTTTGATACATATTCTTCCGTTACAAAAATCTCAACGATTTGTGCATTATTTGCACTAGCCTCTATTCATAAGTTGCAGGTACATCAAATGGATGTTAAGACTGCTTTCTTGAATAGAGATCTAGATGAGGAGATTTACATGGAGCAACCACTAGGTTTTGAAGCACCTGGTATGGAAGGCAAAGTCTGTAGACTCAAAAAGTCACTCTATGGACTTAAGCAGGCTCCTAAATAGTGGTATGAGAAATTTCATAAAACTATTCTTAGTTTTGGTTTTGTTGTGAATGGTTCGGATGCTTGTGTGTATTCGAAGATGTTTGGCACTGAATGTGTTATCATAAGTCTTTATGTTGATGACATATTGATTTTTAGTTCTAACATTGAGTCCATTAACAAAGTTAAAAATTTATTGTCCACTAAGTTTGAGATGATAGATTTGGGAGAAGTAGATGTAATCTTAGGAGTCAAAGTTACCAAAACTGAGAAGAGATTTTCTTTATGTCAAGCACATTATATAGAGAAAGTGCTAAAGAAATTTGACAGTTTTGATGTCGTCCCTGTTCGAACTCTTTATGACCCTAGCATACATCTAGTTAAGAATAAAGGAAGTAGTGTTTCCCAAACTGAATATGCTAAGTTAATCGGAAGCTTAATGTTCTTAATGAACTATACTCGGTTTGATATTGCTTATGCTGTGAGTAGACTGAGTAGATATACTCATAATCCGAGTGGTGAGCACTGGATTGCTCTTAAACGCTTACTGAAGTATCTTAAGGGTACTTTGGATTGGAAACTTGAGTTTGTTGGCTTTCCTGCGGTACTGGAAGGATATTGTGATGCCAACTGGGTTTCTTCTAATGATGAGGTAAGCTCTACGAGCGGGTATGTTTTTACTTTGGGTGGAGCAGCAATCTCGTGGAAATCATCAAAGCAGACTTGTATTGCTCGTTCTACTATGAAGTCAGAGTTTATAGCTCTTGACCTAGCTGGGCAAGAAGCCGAGTGGCTCAGAAGTTTGTTAGCAGATATTCCGTTGTGGGGAAGACCGACTCCTCCAGTTTCATTATTGTGTGATTCACAAGCTGCGATATGTGTGGCTAAGAACCAAATTTACAATGGTAAGAAAAGACACATTCGTATAAGACATGAGTCAGTGAGACACTTAATAAAGAATGGACTGTTCTCTTTAGAGTATGTGAAGTTGGAAAGAAACCTAGCAGATCCACTTACCAACACTCATTTTATCTGGTTATTTTCCCATGTTCATAAGATTAACTTGCGATCAAAATCCAATTAGTTTATAGATTGGAAGAATGTCCTTTGAAATTTATATTCCTCGGTCGCTCTTACTATTTGTTCGCCCTCATTGTCACACAGGGGGGCCGAATCTGTCTTAGAAAACTGTATAAACATGCCTTAACTACTCTGTTCATTCGATTCCATGATTACCGATAAGTAGACGATTTCTTAACACCGATTTTCATTGGATGTAGGTCTGAATGGACTTTTACACACATTGCCTTGATGGAGAATTCAATGCTCATGTCGAGTATTTTAACGTTGGAATTGGAGTGGTACTTCTATTCAAGAATCCTACAAATTCATCAGTTCATGATGGATCCGAAGGGAATTACATTCGGAACTTCCCCGAGAAAACGCAGATAGCAGACTGTCTTTAAGAGATACCTCAACACCTCCATTTTCGTATCTCCAAAGATTCCAGTTCACACTCCTTTCTTCATATTCTGTGCAGCCCCCTTAAGATAAGCCATCGGATCGGATTGACACTTCTCCATCTCTTCCATAATAGAGTCCACCTCAGACAATAAGCTCCTCGAGAAATTCATCATCTTTATAGCCGAAAATAGTTTATGAGAATTGCCTTGCATTCGATGTTCTCACCAGGATTTTATAAACAATCTAGCATATGCTTCAACAATTAGATCATTACGCTTTTCTCAAGCCATAACCAGGCTCATATGTGCATTCATCTGAGACTTCTCAACAACTTTAGTGGCATTTAAAATCATGTATGCAAATCCGATAAATTTTTAAAAGTTGTTCACATAAGAATCTAACATTTATAGTGTCGAATTTCGAATCCACTCAAATAACCTAATTGCTCAAATAACAAAAAGATAAAATGTTACGGAAGGAAGAGTATGGATGAATAACGATGAGGTGATGATGCTACGGATTCTTCCACCACCACTCGTGTTATCAAGGTGAATGAGCACGGAAAAGTTATGGAGTTGTATCATTTCAAACATGAACACAATTTGGTGGTAGAAGACAACATCAAAGGGGACATTAACAGAACTTGCAACAGGTGCATGCTGTCTATCTTGATTCCATTTCATGATCGTTCAAAGTGTTATTACATCCTTTACAAAACTTTTGCTGAATTATCCAAAATCCCAAACTATAGTCCTAAACTATATATTTCCAGCATTGGTGCTGGAAACAAACAAAAGGTTATGTCACTGGTTAGTATAAGATTAATGGCGTTTAAAAAGGCGCAACTGAGGCGCACCTAAGCGCTAAGGCGAGGCAAGGGTGAAACGCCTAATTAGGTCTAGGCGAGGCAATTTCATTGAAGCGCAGCAAGGCGCTGAGGCACAGAAAGGCGCCGCTTCTTCAATTTCCTTTGTTCTTTTTGTCTGTTTTTATTTTTTTTTAGTATGTTTTACGTACTAACTGGTATATCAACAACAAAAAAGAGTGAAAAAATGAAATGTTAGTGGAGAAAAGAGTAAAACATGGTGGGAGTGATTAGAAATTTTCATGGGGGTTACTTTACCTTATATAATTACTGTTTATCTTGATGTTTGAAAGGGAGAGAAACAAAGGAGGGTGACTAGAGTTAGGTTTGAGTGAGTTTAGTTCTCTTCCATCGTTTGCCTCTTCCACTGCTTGCCTCTATTGAAAATTCTAGGTGCTGACTAGAGAAGAAAATTTAAAGTGCTGAGTGCTGACTAGAGAACAAATGTAGAAGCTCAAAGATTCCAGAGGCTAGCGAAGAGGAAGATAATGGTATATAAAATGAGTTTTGAGATGATACAACGAATATCATCTACAGCTGTTACCAAGGGAATTAATGGTAGAGTCATTTTATATTAAATGACCTTTGAGATGATACAATGGATCTCATCCATAGTTGTTGCCAAGGCAATTAATAGTAGAGTTAGCGGCACATTCTCCAAGTCAAACATGCTGTTAAAAGTTTCAAAGTTTGGCAACCAACTTTGGAAAATGTTTTTTCAAAGTTTGGTAAATGTTTCTTTGAAAAATGTTTTCAAAGTTTGGTAAAATTTTGGTAGATGTTTGTTGAAAATAGGAATGGGTAAATTCACTTTAGTCATTGCACTTTATGGTATTTTCAAAGATTAGTCCCTAAGTTTCTACTATAAATACCCTTACCCATTTAGCTTCAAAATCATCCCAAAACATTTCTTTCTTCCTATACTAGAGAGCTTTCTTGTGAGTAGTGAGTGTTTTGTAAACACCTGTAAATTTTCTCTCTTAGTAAAAGATCTGCAGCAGCCCGGAGACGTAAGCACAATTGGCTGAACTCCATTATCAATTTTCAGGTATTATTTTTCCGCTTTTATTTCGCATTCTCACTAATCTGGTTATAGGGAAATTACCTGTACTCGGTTTATTTTACTAACAACTGGTAATCAGAGCTTTTGGTTGTGAATTTTGTCAAATTTTCTGCGATGTTACTATTCATTACTATTCACGTGAATAGTGAATTTCGTGAATAGTGAAATTCGGTCGGCGATACGAGTTTGTCGACGGTGGTGTTCTAATACACGGTGATTCGCAAGAATTGTCAGAAACGATCCAAACGAAGCCAGATTCGAGTGGGAGCGATGGCTGCAGACGAAGGGAAGGTGAAAATTGAAAAGTTCGATGGTGCGGACTTTGGTTTTTGGAAGATGCAAATTGAAGATTTTTTGTACCAGAAAAATCTATATCAACCTCTCTCAAGAAAGCAACCAGAGGGCATGAAGGATGAAGATTGGGCTCTTCTCGACAGACAAGCCCTCGGAGTTATCCGACTGACGTTATCTCGCAATGTTGCTTTTAACATAGCAAAGGAAAAGACCACGGCGGGTCTTATGGCGGCTCTCTCCAGTATGTACGAGAAGCCATCGACCTCAAATAAAGTTCATTTAATAAGACGATTATTCAATTTGCGGATGGCGGAAGGGGCATCGGTGGCACAACACCTAAATGAACTCAACACAATCACAACCCAGTTGAGTTCAGTGGAAATTGAGTTCGATGATGAAGTTCGAGCTTTAATTCTCTTATCATCTCTACCAGACAGTTGGAATGCTACTGTTACAGCAGTCAGCAGTTCGTCGGGAAACAGCAAATTAAAATTCGACGATGTTCGGGATCTGGTATTGAGTGAAGAAATTCGACGAAGAGAATCGGGTGAAGCATCAACCTCCTCAGCCTTGCACACCGAGTCTAGAGGGAGAACTTCAGAAAGAAATTCAAATCGTGGCAGATCAAAATCCAGAAGGGGCAAATCAAGAACAGGAAATAAAGATTTTACCTGTTATAATTGCGGCAAGAAGGGTCACTTCAAAAGAGATTGTCGAGCACTGAAGAAAGATACCGGTGCACAGGAATCTGCCAACGTGACAGAGGAGACAGGTGATGCCATGATTCTATGCGTCAACAGTCCGATTGAATCATGGATCTTGGATTCAGGGGCATCTTTCACTCCACCCCATACCAAGAAATCATGGAGAACTATGTCATGGTGATTTTGGGAAGGTTCATCTTGCTGATGATGAAACCTTAAAGATCGTCGGAAAAGGAGACATCCGACTAAAGTTGCCAAACCAGACCACCTGGAAGCTGACAGGAGTGAGACATATTCCTGGCCTCAAAGAAATCTGATTTCTGTTGGACAGCTTGATGGAGAAGGATATAGCACAACCTTTTCAGGCTGTGAATGGAAGATTACCAAAGGAGCACTCGTCATTGCTCGTGGTAAGAAGACTGGTACTCTCTATGTAACCTCAAATTTAGAGAATATCATTGCAGTAGCAGATGCTGATGGAAAATCAAACCTATGGCACCAAAGGCTTGGCCATATGAGCGAGAAAGGAATGAAGATACTTCTGTCAAAAGGGAAGCTGCCGGATCTAAAGAATGTAGATGTCGGACTATGCGAGGATTGCATCTTTGGCAAACAAAAGAAAGTCAGTTTTGCAAAGATTGGCAAGACACCCAAGGCAAAGGTTAGAGTTGGTTCATACTGATGTATGGGGACCATCCCCAGTTCCATCTCTTGCAGGCTCACTATATTATGTCACCTTCATCGATGATTCAACAAGGAAGGTGTGGGTTTTTTTTGAAGAAGAATCAGAAGTCTTTGATACCTTCAGAAAATGGAAGGCCATGGTGGAAAATGAGACTGGTTTGAAAGTCAAGCGGTTGAGGTCTGACAATGGAAGAGAGTACAGAGACAGTAGTTTCAGAGATTTTTGCGCAAACAATGGGATCAAGAAGGAGACAACAGTTCCCATTACACCGCAACAAAATGGCGTAGCAGAGCGCATGAAAGAACTCTGAATGAACGTGCCAGAAGCATGAGGATACATGCCGGATTGCCCAAATTTCTATGGGCTGAAGCTATCAACACTGCAGCTTACCTGATCAACCGTGGGCCCTCAGTTCCTTTGGATGGCGGAATACCCAGAGGAAGCTTGGAGCAAGAAAGAAATAAACCTTTCACACTTAAGAGTGTTTGGTTGTATTTTTGTACATATAAACTCTGCTGAAAGAAGTAAACTTGATGCCAAGTCCAACAAATGCGTCTTTGTTGGTTACGGTGGTGATGAGTTCGGTTACCGGTTTTGGGACTACGAAAATCGAAAGATCATCAGAAGCAGAGACGTCATTTTCAATGAAAATGTGATGTACAAAGATAGGTCAACCGCATAATCAAGTAATACCGAAGCTGAAACAAAGGAATTTGCTGAGTTCGAGGAGATTTCTGGAAATGATGTTCAGATCAATCCTGAAGCAGTTCAAGAAGAACCACACACACCAGAACTGAGACGCTCCTCCAGAATTCCTAAACCAACCCAACGGTATTCGCCTTCTTTGCACTATTTGTTGCTGACTGACAATGGTGAACCAGAGTACTATGATGAAGCAATGCAGGTGGAGGATTCAGTCAAGTGGGAGTCTTCAATGAAAGATGAGATGGACTCACTTATGTCAAATCAGACGTGGGAATTAGCTGAATTACCACCAGGTAAGAAAGCGCTCCATAACAAGTGGATTTACAGGATCAAAGAAGAACATGATGGGAGAAAACGCTACAAAGCAAGATTAGTTGTCAAAGGTTTTCAGCAAAAAGAAGGTATTAACTACAATGAAATTTTCTCTCAGTCGTAAAACTGTCTACATCAGACTGGTGTTGAAAATTGTAGCTGCGGAGAATTTACATCTTGAGCAGTTAGATGTAAAGACAGCTTTCCTTCATGGTGATTTGGAGGAAGAGATCTATATGAGGCAGCCAGAAGGCTTCATAGAGGCAGGCAATAAAAACCTGGTATGCAGGTTGAAGAAGAGCTTGTATGGTTTAAAACAAGCTCCTAGACAGTGGTACAAGAAGTTCGATAATTTCATGAGTAGCAGTGGTTTTACCAGATGCCAAGCAGATCATTGTTGCTACATCAAGAGGTTCGACAATAGTTTCATTATTTTATTGTTGTACGTTGATGACATGCTCGTTGCAGGCTCAAACATGCAAGAGATCATAAAACTTGAAGCAAAAATTGTCGAAGCAGTTTGCTATGAAGGATGGGCGCTGCAAAGCAGTTCTTGGGATGAGGATCAAGAGAGACAAAGTCGGGGACTTTGATGTTATCACAGGCTGAGTACATCAACAAAGTACTCTCCAGGTTCAACATGCAAGAGCTAAACCAGTAAGTACACCTTTAAGTGTTCATTTCAAACTCTCCAAAGACCAATCACCAAAGACGGAGGAAGAACGTGCACACATGGTGAAGGTGCCGTATGCCTCAGCAATTGGAAGTCTGATGTATGCCATGGTTTGTACCAGACCAGATTGCTCATGCAGTGGGAGCTGTTAGCAGGTACATGAATAATCCGGGCAAGGTACACTGGGAAGCAGTCAAATGGATCCTCAGATATCTTCGGGGTACCACAAAAAGCACTTTGTTTCAAAGGTGGAGATATGATCTGACAGGCTATGTAGATGCTGACTTAGCCGAAAATGTTGACATCAGAAGGAGCACTACAGGGTATGTCTATACTCTAGGAGGAACTGCAGTGAGTTGGGTTTCTCAACTACAGATAGTTGCTCTCCACAACTGAAGCAGAATATGTTGCTATTATGGAAGCCAGCAAGGAGATGGTTTGGCTCCAAAGTTTCTTGGAAGAGTTAGGCAAGAAACAAGAAAACAATATTTTGTATTGCGACAGTCAAAGTGCTATCCATCTAGCAAAGAATCCGTCTTTTCATTCCAGGACAAAGCACATACAATTGAGATATCATTTTATCCGGTCTCTTCTGGAAGATGGGATTTTGAAACTTGAGAAGATTAGTGGAGCTCAAAATCCGGCAGACATGTTGACAAAGACGGTGACTACGGACAAACTGAAGTTGTGTTCAGCTTCAGTTGGCATGCTAGAATAACAAGACCAGACATGCTGCTACATTGATCGAGGTGTGAAGACATATTAAAATCAGTCTTCAAGTGGGAGATTGTTAAAAGTTTCAAAGTTTGGCAACCAACTTTGGAAAATGTTTTTTCAAAGTTTGGTAAATGTTTCTTTGAAAAATGTTTTCAAAATTTGGTAAAATTTTGGTAGATGTTTGTTGAAAATAGGAATGGGTAAATTCACTTTAGTCATTGCACTTTATGGTATTTTCAAAGATTAGTCCCTAAGTTTCTACTATAAATACCCTTACCCATTTAGCTTCAAAATCATCCCAAAAAATTTCTTTCTTCCTATACTAGAGAGCTTTCTTGTAGTAGTGAGTGTTTTGTAAACACCTGTAAATTTTCTCTCTTAGTAAAAGATCTGCAGCAGCCCGGAGACGTAAGCACAATTGGCTGAACTCCGTTATCAATTTTCGGGTATTATTTTCCCGCTTTTATTTCGCATTCTCACTAATCTGGTTATAGGGAAATTACATGTACTCGGTTTATTTTCCTAACACATGCATGAATCCAGCTGGTTGCGGAAGAGTTAAATGAACGGTGGCAGCAAACACAATTAGATTTAGCAAAACTAGCATATAAAGTAAAGAAATGCAGGCCATTATAAGATTTTTGGCCTGCTAACTTCTCAACAGCCTCTTCCACCAAAAACATACCATATATGTCGTATGATCTTGAGGAAGGGACAAGCAATGGTGAAAGAACAGGAGCTTAAGTTTTTTAGGAGCGAACCAATGAGTAATTGGATGAATATACTCTAGAAATATATAAACTTTTTAGCGTAAGATAGATTTCAGTGATTTTTGTTTTTATTTCTAAAAGTGCGCCTTACCAGGCCCATATGTGCATTCATCTGAGGCTTCTCAACAACTTTAGTGGCATTTAAAATTACGTATGCGAATTCGATTAACTTTTAAAAGTTATCCAAATAAGAATCTAACATTTATAGTGTCAAATTTTCAATCCACTCAAATAAAAGGATAAAATGCTACGGAAGGAAGAGCATGGAATAATTAAGATGGGGTGATGATCCTACGGATTCTTACACCACGTGTTATCAAGGTGAACGAGCACGGTGAAATTATGGAGTAGTATCATTTCAAATATGAACACAATTTGGGGGTAGAAGGCAACATCAAAGGGGACATTGACAGAGCTTGCGACCGGTACATGTTGTCTATCTCGACTCCATTTCATTATTGTTCCATGTGCGATTTCTTCCTTTACAAAACTTTTGCTGAATTATCCAAAATAAAACTTCACTTGTTCCGACTGCCCGCTGTCACCCTTGAAGCCCATGATTGCAAATAGTGTCATTGTGTCGTCGCTTATTACCTAAGGTGTGCCACAGTTCCTTATCATCACCAGTTGTTCGGGATTTCCATAGCACCAGCACAAACTGAGAAAAACAATTAACCAGTCACTCTCCAAACTGTTTAAGCGTATGGGCAGAAGAATAAGACATGTTCAATTGTGCCTTCTACTTCTCTGCATCTCGTACAAATGGTTTAGATAGATGCTCCTTATCTTTGTTCAGCCCTCCCTATCTTTGAGCCATATATTATATAGTCTAATCCTAACAACTACAACACGTTGAACTTTCCAAGTGGTCTAAATGAAAGATTTAGTAAAGAATGAGTTCATAAAGATAACGAAGAAAGCAGGTCACAATGGTAAAGGAATACAGATTATTATAATATCAAAATAGACCTTAATGTTTATAAGCACATCAACTAAGACTGGGAAATACACTTTAACACTCACACAGCTCTTAAGAAAATCAATGAAAATGGTTATGACCGAGTTTATTCACATTCACAACTATCGTTACACTACAACCCAACATTTTTAAATCAAGATCGATTTAGTAGATTGTAAGAGTAGATCCACATACCAGGTGGCAGTGCATAAATCTGCAGAAAAGCCCTTACCGACCATTTCCCCAAGGAGTTGGGTTGCCTTTGGTAGAGCTGTTTTGGAAAAACCCCTGGATCATTACATTATAAGAGATTCTATCAAGCAAACATCATTATCTCCATGCTCCTAAACAACTGGTGTGCTTCATCTGGCAATCCCTCTTTACATAATCCATTAATCATTGTATTATATGCGCAAACATCAGGTTTTACACCGTTGGCAGATAGTTCATCAAACAATTCCTTCGCAACTCTAATATGCCCAGACTTGTACGCGCCATCAATCAGGATATTATAAAGACAGTATCGAGTTCCAATCCATTATTCCGCATTGCCTGAAAAATTTTGAAGTCCTCCTTAAGTTTACCGCTTTTCCAAAACCATCCAACAAAATCAAACAGTGACTCGACATGGAACTAGTCCAGAAGCAAGCATCTCCCTTAAAAGTTCACATGCGGCAGAAACTCTCCTTAACTGACACATACTTGCATTAGAATGTTATATGTGACCGTATTCGGGGTTGGTCATGTTCGAGATATTTCATGAAAAAGGTCTGAGCTTGAAATCAGCAGTGCTCCAAAGAGAGAATGCCAAAGATGAATCTTAGAAAGAGAGGATGGATTTTGCCCTTTCGAAACAAACTCACTATAAGTACAAAAATGTCCCTTGACTATAATGTGTTGTTTAAATGAGTCTCTTTATTATAAAAAATTACAAAATGATCATTCAAATATAGGGTATTACTTTGTTGAGTCAATTGACTATTGAAAGTTACAAAATAATCTTCCAACTATAGGACGATGTTTTTTTAATCTCCTGACTATTAAAAGTTACAAAATAGTCATCAGACTATTCATAAGATTCAAACTTGTCATTTTCTGTTAAAAAATTATTTGATGTATGAGTTGGACATTAACCTAGTGTCTGAGATATAATAAAATTTGAACTCAAAATCTCAAAAGATTGTACAACTCAAATAGTTTTGGGATCAAATTTTATCATATCTCAGTCAACAAGTTAACATCTAGCTTAAAGGACTGTCATTTTTTAACTCAAAATGATGAGTTTGGAACATAAGAATAGTCGAGTGATCATTTTATAATTTTTAATAGTCGAGAAACTCAACAAAGTAATATCCTATAGTCAGTTGTGTGTATATGTAACAACCCGAGAAAAAAATTAAATCGGTGTAATTTGGTGAAATTTAGTGACTAAAATAAAATTTATGAAAATTTATAGGTCATTTTAGAAGTTGAAGGAAATTTAGGGACCAAGCCTTGAATTCCTCCAAAGAGTGTCGGCAGCATTGTTTTAAAAGCGTTTCTGATTTCAAAAATCAAAAAAATCAGAAACAAGTTTTGCTTATATTTCCTTTCTCCCGCACATCTACTTTCAAGCTCGATTTCAACGCCGTCCGACTTCCAATTGTCAAATTGAAACTACCATCGTGTTCATCGTCGACCCGTGATCAAAACCCAGTAAACCAATTATAGCGAAACGCTGCCAAACGACGTGAATTTCGAGTCAAAGTCTCGATGTTTTTTTAGCACCACCGCTGGGAAAATCTTAAATTCATCTTCGATCGTTGATCGGTTTTTGACACCTCCCGCACTATCGTGTTCCTGGTGTCGTTCTGAGTCCGACGGTGTCGTCCTTGTCTCCGTAGGCGGCGGCGCGTGTGGGAGGTGGAGCAGTCAAAGATTCGGTCGAGTTGAAATCGAGCTCTCCACCGTTCAAAAATTTGAACCGAGGTTGGTAAGTAACTCAAAATCGCTTAAAAGAATTTTTAGAATTTTTTTCATGAATTATTGGAGACCAGACGACGCCTCACGCGCCCCTACGCGCCGGGGCGACGTGTGGGGGAGCTTCGAACTGGTTGATTTCATGTTGACCGGCTTGACCGGTCCAAACCGGTATGACCGGTCTGACCCGAACCGTTGACCGACCCGACCCGTTGACCCGACCCAGTGACATTATGGGAATTTTTGTGAAAAAGGTGATATTCTGGGGAATATTTTGAAAAATGTGACATTCTGGGAAATATTTTGAAAAAGTTGACATTATGGGAATTATTTTGAACAATGTGACATGCTGGGAATTATTTAAAAAAGGTGATATTTTGGGAATTTTTGAATATGGACTATTAAACCCCTTTGACCATAACTTTGACCGACTTTAAACGGCCATTAAACGACATTTGATTTTGTTCGAGTATACCTATTCTGATATTTTTCGACGTGCCGAATCTGTTTCACCAAATTCGAACCCGAAGGCTTCCAAATCATCAGTCAAACCCGTTGACTTTGATTTTGACTAAGAATTTGAATTTTCGAAAAGTCATACTTTATGTTTTTCGACGTCCTGATTCCGATTCCGCAATCCGTATGGTTAAATTCAGACTCGAAATCCTCCAAATTGATAGTCAAATCCAGAAAATGCTTATATACTTAAGAATTTTAGCTTTGATCAATTAAGTAAGTCTTGGAGTTAATAAATTATTATTGTTTGAAGGTACAAGAGACTCTCCGGATCGTTCGACAGTTCGACCAGCTTCTAGATAGTTAAACCACGTGTGCCAATTCACCCGTAAACCCGTAAATTTTATGATTTCAGAAATTAATTTTGTTACACATTAATAATATAATGTTATTATGGATTAGGTTCGAAAACAGTAGCAAAGCGTGGCGAGACCAGCAATGACTAGATCTACTATTTGAACCTATTGTCGAGGTGTGTTCCCTGTGTACTACATGATTTATGTTTTGAATATGGTAAATTGAAAGCTATGATTTAAGTTTTATTAATCCACCTATTTACTGGTGATGGTTTATGGAATATGACTGATATATTATTGGTTTTCATTGGTATATGATAATATTGAATATGGAATTATGGAATTATGTTTACTGCATAAATAGTATTTTTGAAATACTGATTTTGGGTTGGATTGCATTACAGAGGTATAGCTTTGATCAAGCTGGTAAACTTTATGGACCTAATGTGACTCTTGGTAGGTCCACGGGCCTCAAGATGCTTCATTAGATTGGCTTCTTTTGCTGTGTGCTTAGGATAAGCCCTACGGACTTACGGACTTAAGGATACAGGCTCGAAAGCCTATTCTTAGGTTGACTACCTTTTTGCTGAGTGCTTAAGGTAAGCCCTATGGACGCAGTTCTGGGGAATTGCGGATGGTGTACAGGAGAAGGATTTTAAATTACGAGTTTCAAAAGTTAAACTTCATTATGATTTGATGATGAAATTATGAACTATTACTCATTTACTGTATCTACTATGATTTTATTGTACTATTGGGACACACTGAGCCTAGCTCACTTTTCGAAAATGTTTTCCCATTTCAGATACTGTTGGTTAGATACACCTGATTGAGCGCTTGGAGGATCAACATATCTCTTGAAGTATATCATATTGTAATGTTTTATCTTTTAAGTTGACACTATTTTGGTAACATGACCCTTATTTTAAAGTATTGAATTTTATAATGATTTCTCCTTTGCTATTTATATTTGGGTTATCGTAAATTTAGATTTTTAAGATATGTTTAAATTAATTTGTTTTTCTTTATTATATTTATAAGATGTATTTTTATAGTATAAATTATTATAGTTTCATAAACGTCATTTATAATGTGATTTTACCTTGATTGAATAATGGTTTCAGAACAATATCTTTAAGAATTATGAATATGATTCACTAGACTTAGTCGAAACGCATAGACCGAGTCTAGGGGTTACAATATAATTGTTCTTTTATCAGTGCTTAGTATTGGAAGGAGAGAAACCAAGTTGCTTAATTGGTGATGCTTGTATTTGATAGGCTTCTTGTTCTTTGTGCTTACTTTTACCCACTCGTATGCATGTCGTAGCATTATTCAAATGTTGAGAGCCTATCACCTTGGAGGATCAGCATTCAAACTCGATTATCCTTTTAAAGAATCCATTCTCCGATGCCGTACTACTCTGCCTCCGAAACTCCGAAAGCAAAAGCCTGTAATTTTCTTCTAATTATATTGAATCAATAGTCGACGTCGTGAAATCTACGACAAAAGCTTCAGACGATGAGAACACTAGAAAAAGAACTTGAACTCATGCAACGACAGAGAGTCGCATCCGAACAAAAGCAGATGTGGCTCAAGTCTTGTTCGTATGTTAGTTACTTTCCTGTTTATTGTTCGTATAATTGTGTCCGTGTATAAAATTAGCGAAGTCTTGACGCTGATTACTGTTTGTATTGTAACATGTAGAGTTGTACAGAGCGACATTTTCCACAAGCAGATGTAGCTCAAGTAATTGATTCAGCCATTGTAAGCTTGCATCCATGCTGTCCCCAAAACTTGCCTATTTACCGAGAAGGCATAATGCAAACAAATACCCCTAACGTTTGACACTATATGCATTTGTGTCCAAATCGTTTTTTTTAGCAGTTCTACCTACAACGTTTGATTATAAAGCATAAGTCCCCCCGTTGGATGGAAACCGTCAGTCAACTGACGGTCAACGGTTCCATCTAACGTGGCATGTACATGTGGTAACCGATGATGACGTGATATTTCCATGTCACTATTTTATGCTGACGTGGAATTTATATGTCAGATTTTATAATAAAATGTAAATTAAAAATGTGAACCAGTAGGAGAGTGACATTGGCGCGTATTTGATTAAAGGGTTGCAAGGCTCCCAACACGGTGAATGGGATTCGAACCTGGGGCAAGGGCATGAAATGGGATGACCCTTGCAACCAGGCCAAGCATGTTAATCGATAGTTATGTGTAAGAATATGGTAATAAACCAAAAATAAATGTCCAGGTTTCTAAAAAAAACTTGATATGCGCGTTTAGCATACATATACGATTCAAACGATATTTCCCCCCCAAACCCAAGTATCCCCAAATACAAATCAAACCAAAACCCTAATCGCATATCTCCTTTCAATTTTGACTCCATCAAATCTCCTCTACAAGAACGAATTTTCCTTCAAGCAGTAGCCTCAAGCCGATCAATTAAGCGTATATTTTGAAGGTGAGTTGATTTGTTTGAACGGAATCATAAATTATTTGAAATCACAAATCCCCTTTCAATTTTGACTCCATCAAATATCCTCAATTTTGAATGTGTTTTTGATTTAGTTTTGTTAAATGTTTTGGGTATGTGCGGGTTTCGAATGGATTTTTGATTAATTTATTTTTGATTTAAGTTTTTTATTTGGTTTAGTTCGAAATGAATATTACATAAATTAATTTAATAATTAATGTTGTTTGATTCTTATTTGGGTTGTATTAGAAATTGTGCAATGGACAAGTTCGCATGTCCAACCATTGTTAGTGCTTCGTGACGAGATTTTGTCTACGACGGTGACCCAAAAAAGTGTTATTGCAATAAATTGACATCTAGGGAAATTTCATGGAGTGATTTAAACCCCAGGAGAAGGTATTACGGTTGCTCAAATTTTTCGGTAAGAGTATGTTTAAAATGACCTTGAATTAGTTAGCTTGAACAATAAAATGTTGTTGCATATATAAATTGATAACAAATATGTTTTCCCCTTATTGTAGCACAGTTGTAGGTATTTTGAATGGTATGATGGTAAAATGCCAGAGCGAGCTAATTACTTACTACGACAATTACGTGATAGTGAGCGAAATTAATGAAAGAGAATGCAAGACTTAGAAGACAGATTAGAAGTTATCATGTGCTGCTCAAAGGAATAGTATGTTGTTGGAAGAGAGTGAAAGTGAAAGTGTTCAAAGCAAAGTTAATGAGATTGGAAGTGTGCAAAGTGAAGACAATGAAAATGAATTAAAGGAAAAAAGATTAAGAGCTTGAAGGAAAAATCTAAAACAATGAAGAAACAAAAGGATTTTTATAAGACAATGTGTATTTTCTCAAAGGTGTGTGTCATATGTATCTTTGTGGTAATTGTACTTGCAATAACACTTTAGGTGTTTTGTTAAAAATTAAGTGTTTATGTATGTGTAATACCAAGTGTATGACTGTTACTTATTGAGAAGAAATGACTATGTCTAATATTAAGTGTTTAGTGTTTTCTATTATATTGGCTAGTTAATATGCTTAAACCGAATAAACAAAAAATAATCGAAAATAAATGTTATTGATTCTTGAGTTAGGCATATATTTGTCATACACAAAAAACATATATTACTGCTGCAGGGTATATCATATGAAGTTAGGTAGATATTTGCCATACACAAAAAAAAAAACACAACCCAAAACATATACCCTAACAAAAAGCAACACAACCAAAGACCCACTCGAGCAACAATTCATTTCTTCTTTTTTGGTGCTACTGATTCTTGAGTGCCCATATGATCCTCAACTCCTTTACTTTCTTTGGTGCTCTTTACCAGACTGATAACATATTAAAAAATTCAAACATTATTTAAGTTTTTGAAAAAAAGACTATTACTTATTTAAAATGTTCTTACATAGAATGTATGCTCTCCAGTCATCAAGTTTGTGTAAAGGCCTATCCCTTCATATCTTTTTTTCCTCATTGATCTATCAGAAGTAACACAAGCCTTTTCCTTCTCATTTCATTTCCTTGATACGTGTGTTGGGTTTGAATCGATTGTACTGGTGATTTATCAAAGAATTCCTATCGATATTAAGATCCTGCAACAAAAAAAATTATACTGTAAAATCTAACATTAACTTCAACTTTAAAACAAATTGAATACATAAACTAAATACATGGTTTGCAGTACATGATCTTATTATGACATTGTCCACCACATATTTTACAAGTCATAATAAGACCAATCCTGCTAACATGTCCAGGCTTGACTTTTTGGTTCATATTTTGCTTCCTTCGATTTTCTTAGGCCTTCCAGGCTATCTCTATCAACCGGTGAAAGAACTTGTTCAATTCCATATTTCTTCCAATCTTGAGGCCCATTAATAGGTTACAAAGTATATTTATATGTTTTAATGTATGTGTCTTTATGATAGAAGGAATGTATCCATTCATCTGGGTCCCCACCGATATGCCATATTGCACAACAAACATGCGGAAACGTAATCCCACTTAGTTTGCCAACTTCCATAGGTACAATTTTTTTCATTCAAGTCTACAATGTACTGCTTATTCCCTTTCTTTACCTCATATCCATTATCTCCATTCCAAATCATTCTCTACTGAATGCTGTATTTTTTCATGATGTCAAATTTTTTCTTGATTAGTGGCCCAAAATTGT